ATGGTATTAATTTGGTTACAGTATGATTCAGCATTGATGGTTTCGCCAGGAATTAAGAAGCTGTAGTGTATTAAACCAAATGAAGCCCACCATACCGTAACCATTACCTTTTTTTGATGAGTTGGGGGCTTTGGAAAATGTATTGGAGCTTCTCCTTTGTCGAGCCACTGTCCAGAATCCACTTTTCGTCACATGTAACAATTCTGGCCAGAAATGGGTCATTTTTGTTTCGACAAAGAAGTGATGCACAAACATCAAAGCGCTGATTTTTTTGGCGATCGTTTAATGAGTGTGGAACCCAATTTTCGAGTTTTTTCACTTTTCCAATCGCCTTGAGGTGGTCAGCGACGGTCGTTTTACTGACTTTGAGTTGCTCTGCAAGTTCTCGAACAGTTGTTTTGGGGTTTTCTTCCACCACTGATCGCAGAACATCATCATTAAGAGAGGAAGGCCTTCCACGACCTTCTTCATCTTCAAGGCTGAAATCTCCCTCCCGAAATTTTTTAAACCACCTTTGCACAGTGCACTCATTAACACAACCCTCGCCCCAGACTTGGTTAATGTTTCTAGCCGTTTGGGCTCCGCTTCGGCCGAGTTTAAACTCGTAAAAGAAAATCGTACGAAATTCTCGCTTTGACATTATAAGGATGACTGAATTATTTCCAAGTAGCGGAATGCTACAGAGGTAAACAAACAATATCATTTGGAAGAGGATTAATAAGTGTTGACATTCATACAAATGAGTAATCCTGTAAACGTAAACAGAATATTTTATATAGATTTTTTTTAATGAAAACTTAAAATCCTGCATTATTTTCCGGACAACCCAATACATGCGTACGCAGATACGAGCTTACATAAATCAGTAATCAGTAAAACGACTGAAATGAACAAAATAGAATATTGTATTTACAGCATCCTATATTTCGTCACAGACACAACAAATGCGTGTTAAGCACTTGATAAAGTTGCTCGGTAGATTAGCACACCGGTCATTTCATAAAGCTTTGTCAAATTATTTTTTTTATTTTTCTCTCTCACTCTCTCTCCAGGACGTTATAACAGGGGTTAGATTATAGAATATGGGATTGGGGATTTGCGAGTTTATGAGCTGTTGTTATAAATTGTAATCATCACTGATCCCCTCTGGGATTTTGCCATCGTTCATTATTCCCATATACGTCTTGTAAAAATGAAACAGACCATTGGCGTAATAACGGAGGCAACGACTATTGAGGATTGGCGGATCACAAGAGCACCTATCAACGTTTCAACTCAGATAAGATTTTTGTCTGAACAATTTAACTTCGAATCTCATGAAACAATCACGGATCAGTAACAAATCAGTTATTTTTAACTCCTAATTAATTTTTTGTAAGCATCAAAATTTATTTGATTAGATTTTCAATTCTCAGGCTGCATTTCTTTTTATTACTTGTCTCTCTTGTCAAATTTTGTTAAATTTACAATAGTACATGAAAATACAATCACCGTATTACCAATCGATTTGAAGCCTAAATCCGGTTCATTTGAGGGGCGATGTCGGGTACATAGACCATTAAACAGATAGTTTAATTATCAACTCGTTTATAAAAGTCGATATATGATATATAAATATATATATAAACTTTGTACATGTGTGCGCAGATTCGAGCTTACATAAATCAACAATCAGTAAGACGGCTGATCTGAACAAATACCACTTTTTTAAAGAGTTTACTTGTTTAAAATTACGAGGTTGACTAAGGAAATTAAACCAGGACATTAAGTGGACTTAACTGTATTTGTTATGACACTAATTAGTCAGTTTAAATTTAGCAGATAGACGCCGTTGACTATTAGCCAATAAAATCATACAAATTAAGAAATTACACATGTTAAGCAAGAAATTATACATGTTGTTGATAAGGGTGCTCTGTAGATTAGCACACCGGTCATTTCATAAAGCTTTGTCAAATTATTTACTCTCTCTCTCTATCTATCTATCTATCTCTCCTGACTTCTGCCAGGGTTCCTTCACACGCTTTTTGCCTTTACCTCTCATGGGCTAAGGTCTTAATGCTCTTCCTAGCCTTTTTAATTCTCTGGCGCAGTGTTAATTGCTAGACTGGAAAACTGTAGCGAATTCACGGTCATTCGGTCATTCGGATTCATTCCGATGACTCTTGCCCGTGCCTCTTTCCGTTTTTGAGCCGTCAGTTTACTAATAGTAATTGGCCTTCTGACGTGTTCCTTTGACCCACTCACCCCTTTCTGGTATAAGTACCTTGTACTTGCTGGTGATGTTATATTTTGAAGTAGTGGCATTGATTAGCAAGCTAGTATGGCATCTGGTCCCTCATTGTCCATTCCACTCTTACAAAATATGTAAAATCTCTGCAATATTTGATGTTCTGGAATGTAGTCAAATAGATTTGTATTTTTGTTTGTCTTTCCATGATTTGTTCTTTCCAAATTACAAACCGTTGAAAAACAAACGAAAATAAAAAGAACTACATGTAAATTAAACGATTAATCCAAGGTGGGCAACTGTATATTTGTATTGACACTATAAAGCCTGTTAGAACCAAACTACAAAAGCCGTTAAGGGGGTTGTGAGAGTGTTTCGGATGAACGGCCGTTTTTTCCCCTATTTAACTCCACTTCTAGTCGATGGATTTTATTTATGATAGCCACATCTTTTCAGGAGAATCTCTACTTTCTGAGTGAGCATCAAACTCTAAAATTGTACCATATTTCATGGTAATTTAGTTGCTCAATGAGAGGCCAAAATTTCGGTCCATTACAACCGATCTTTTTTGCTTTGTGTATCTTATTGTACTACATATTCATAGATAAGTTTATTTTTTTAAATAGGAGATCGTTAATTTTCGGCAACAACTTCAAGATGCAAAAGAGGAAATGCAAAAATATTAAAAATTAAGAGAGGAAAAATGTGAAAATTATTTCTCCGCTCCTGGGTGTTTTTTAAATAATCGCTTCGATTATTTGCCTATTATTCATCTACAGAATGAAAAAAAAATCTTTTCTATAAGATGAAGGGTTATGGAGAAAATTGTACCGAAATGTGAAAAAGTACATCTTACCAGTAAACGCGATTTTCTAATCGGGTTCGCCTTATTCCTATTGCCATAAAAACGGTATACTCCGAGTCCTCTTCCAGTACGGAGTCCATAGAAAACGTTTTTCTTGGGTTAGTTTTTGACAAACAAAGAATATACCTAAAAGAAATTCCTCAAACGGTAAGGCGGGTGGAATGTTCATCAAAGCAAGAATCACCAGAATACTTGAATCGCATCATTCAAAAGAATTATTTGAACCACAACTAATGGTCCGAATGTCATGGAACTTGTTTCATCCGTGCATAAATATAATAAAAGACAAGAGTATTTAAACTTCTTAAGGGATGACGAGTTGAAAGTTCATCAATGCGACATATATCAGAACATTTGTCTCGCAAGTTTCAAAAAATTATCCACTTCTAAAACTTTTCATAAAACCAACTTCATTCTATTCAAAATAGGTTTCAGTACAAAACATTATTGAAAAGATTTGTTGGATTAATCAACAACATCAATTGTACAAATGTGTTAATGTTAATTTCAAGGGGTTAATCAGTGGTACATTTTAAGTCAAATCTTGTTTAACCTATTTTTAAATAATATTGAAATCGTCCGCTTAGATTATTTGCCTGTTATTGATCTACAAAAGGCCAAAAGAATCGTTTCAGTATGATGAATTGTTTTGGAGAAAAGTGTGCTGAAATGTGAAAAAGAACCACTTTTCAGTAAATATTTTCTGTTCCAGCTGGAGTTTTTCCCGTTTCTAGGAAAATTTGACAAATGGATTAAATAAGGGGGCTTGACAAGAAGAGGTTTTACTTGGAAATATAGTTTTTGAAAATAATTACACATAAAAGAGAGTCTTCAAGCAGTAAAGGATAGCGAGCTGTAATTTCATCCAGGCAAGATATACTACATTTGATTCGTAATATATAAACAATTATTTGAGCCACTTCTGAATCTAGGAATCAAATGAAACTAGTTCCATTCTGTGCAAAAAAGGTTGTAGTAAATCAAAAAGGCATTTTTTGGTTCGAAAAACGGTCCCACTTTTCCATCCAAATAAACAACAATACGTCAAGTATGGCATTGGTTTGAACGATTTGTTAAGAGTGAAAAACTGTACTGCCATTTGACACATGTTAAAACAATTCTCTTGACATCTCATCAAATCAGAGATAAGGCCATAAAATCAAAATTCATTATGAAAGTTTCGATAAAATTAAATAAGTTCGCCACCAAGACACAGGACTTTACTAGAGTAAGAATTACTCTCATTGCATCCCAATTGTTTTAAAATAAAAAAAGTCGATTTATTTTTTATTTATCATCATGAATAAAAATGATTTCAAGAATGTTTAACCGAAAAAACAAAGACGAGATAGCATAAGAAAATGCCTGCCTGAGAGACTTCAACGCTTTCTTGTCCGTAAATAAAGAGTGAACAGTCCATAAAAATTCATTTAAATTACTTTCTGTTTCGACAATTTCGTGGTTTTTTTTTCATTATTTATATATTTATTAATACATTTTAAATTTTGCGTTTTACCCTTTTAAAAAAATATATTGAAAAATTTAGCATGGAGTGAAATGTTTTCCATCTTCTCGTTTTATCAATGCTAGAGCAAAGTGACTGTTTTATTGTCTTCATTGAAAAAAAACTGTATAAATTCTATCTATTGTTACATGGTGTAAATGTGGTTTCTTTTATATTGTTTTACTAGGCCACAGTCTGAATTTTTTCAAAGTTCATGTTTTAATTTTACAATCCAGATTTTCATCTGAAAAGAATAGGAAAAATCTAAATGAGAACTTGTTTCAAGTAAATTTCACAAAACGGTGTGTTTCGTTAATGAAAAATTTTATCTCGAAAAAAAAAAATTTCTACGAGAAAAAGAAAAAATGGGTCATAGGATTGAGTAGAAAATGATGTGTCACCTGTCACAAATGGCGAAAATCATGATGAAAAAAATGATATTAGTCTGCGATTGGAAATACATGTTGAATGTCACATGATGCAGAGAGGTGTGCTCACGTGAACGAAGCATAGCACTGACTGAGCCTACCTTCTTACCTGTCTTCAATCACCAACCCTTCTCTCTTTCTTGTTCCCTACACTCATCTCATCTTCCACTCCTCGTCTTTAAACTCGGTAGTTCCGCGTTTCCCACTCCTTCCGCCTAAGAAGAAGCACGGAGGAGATAATTTCGCCTCGAAACGAAAATGGATGGTACAGATGAGTCAGACGGCAGTTGTAACTTGCCAGGAAAAGTGAGGTGGCTGCATGCTCTTTCGGACATAAAATAACAAATTGATTATAACCCAGGGTTACGGTCGAAGAAAAAAACAATTAGCCTTGCAATCACAAATATGCCATTTTCTTCTTTAATGGCGCGTGGAAATGGTGCTTACCAGATGGTAGCGACCATCTATATAATCTATATAAAAAATAACTTCATGCCCACCAATTACGCTTTGTATTGGAATTTATCAATTACTCATCAGACCTTCGATTATTTTTTTCAAAAATCTAAGCCTATGCTATAATAAAAGTGAGTTAGAAAGCACACACAGTACACACACTAAGAAGGAGAAACTACGGATTTGTCCGACCATTCTTCCCAATGAAGATTTTTTTAAATGCAATTTACATAATGTTATTTAAAAATGATTCTGATTTGTTGTGCGTGTATTTCTAGGTTATTATATATCATTAGATTTGTTTTGCTTTTTACCTAGGGTAAAAAATAAGATGTAGGTTTCAGAAAAACATTTTCTTTATCGTGCCAACGTTTCGATCTTTATTGAGATCATCTTCAGGGCCTGGGATTTACAAACATTGTTTACATTTAACAAATACATTTAGGATGTGGAAAAGGGAATTTATACAATGCCAAATATATTTTGTATATTCAATCAAAGTATTTCTACTCACTCAAAGTGTTTGTCTTCTGTGTAATTGTGCCATTCTTGCGTGTCGTGTTGAGATTGCCAGTGAGATTTTGACGTTTTACGCAAGAATGGCACAATTACACAGAAGACAAACACTTTGAGTGAGTAGAAATACTTTGATTGAATATAAAAAATATATTTTGCATTGTATATAATTCACTTTTCCACATCCTAAATGTATTTGTTAAATGTAAACAATGTTTGTAAATTCCAGGCCCTGAAGATGATCTCAATAAAGATCGAAACGTTGGCACGATAAAGAAAATGTTTTTCTGAAACCTACATCACACCAGACCGCATCTCACGATTTCTGAATAATTATCGATTAACGGTCACTAATCACCACACGCAGTGATAGTATTGTTGTTTTTTTCTATTCAATAGGTTGTAATTGAAATTTATTTTTTTATCTAGACCCACTCTATTCCACAGACGGAGATCACCAAAACCAGTTTTCATAAAAAGTAGTCTTTTTTTTTTTAAACAATATCGATTTCGGGGCATCACCCAGCAAAAAATAAAGTCTACTTTTTATGAAAAGTGTGTTTTTGTTGTCTTCCGTCTGTGGAAAAGAGTGGGTCAAGAGAAAAAATAAAAAGTAAACATTTCTGGGCTGGATTAGACAGATGAAATTTTCCTTTCTACGATGTTCGGTGTACCGGACATAAGAATTCATAACTCCTCTGAATCCGATCCAAACGTAACGTTATTGCAACCGATTGAAAGGAGAATAAAAATGACATCAACAAAGCCTTGTCAAAGGTTTTATACAATATTTCTGGTTGTAACTTATTAACGGAGGTCAAGTTTGTGGCATTACGTGTAGTTTATTGAGTTCTAAGCCCCTATGAAAATCTCCGTGGATCGGTGGAGTCGTTTTAAAATTATCACAATTATTTTAGAAAACAAAAATAGATATTTTGGGGTGTGACCATTTTTTTCACTGAAGTCCTGTCTTATGAACGTAAAAATCCTTAACCCCTCTCGATATTATCCAAATCCTATGTTTCTACGACAGTTTGAAAGCAAAAATTCTCTTCGTTTAGCCTATGTCAAAAACTTATAGTTTTTTTTATCATTATAAGTGTGGAGACAAAAATAAAATGGACAAATACACCTCATACGTTTTATTTTGTTTCTCCAGTTCTGATTTATTCACCAAGGCCAGTTTTGTGCACTTTATGTTACCCAAAGGTAGTTTAAACGGTTCTAAATCTTTGTAAAATTTCAGGAGGATCGTTCGGGTCTTTTTAAAATTTTCAATTCAATTGTCATGATTTTCGAAGAAAAAATCGGAGCCATTTGGAAGGTTCACAATTTTCAGGGAAAAATATTTATTGATTGACCAAAGATTTGTATTCAGTGTTTTTAAGATGTGATTAACGAATACCGTGTTTCTTGCTTGAAAAAATAAACCCTTGTCCCTAGGTGTCGTAGAGGATATTGAAAACAGGGATTTTTATGCTTAGAGCATAAATTTTCAAAGAGCGACTCGACTCTCCTTTTCAAGAAAATGAATGAAATATGATTTTGTCACGTTTCTCTCCAAATATGTAATAAATAAGCGGTGTCTTACGACACCTCGACTTGGGCGTGGTTTTCCAAATGCACTCGGCTCGTACTGAGTTCATCACCACCTGAAGCAAGAAAAAATACTCTTGGGGTTTGCGTAAACGCATAAAATTTAAGATAAAAGCACGGTTTGATTCATTCACTGTCGACCTCGTTTGCGTGAAAAGGATTACGTACGATTTGTCTAATGGTTGTGCAAAAGTGAAACCTAACGGTGAAACAACGGAAACTACCACAATCCTTTAAAAAGAGTTTCTGAAAACGCAGGATTCAAAAAAAGTGAAACCGTCTTTGAAGCCTGAAGAAGAAAATGATAATAAAAAATGATAAAAACCGATGCCCGATTAATATATAAAGCGTGGTTAGGGTGACAGACTCGCATTTGCCACGCTGTGGTTCTCGGTTCAAATCCCGGCATAACCCATGGAATTTTTAATTGGTAATACTAAGTAAAACGTATTGTAAAGTAGTTTGACCCCTTCTTCCTCGAAGCCCAATAGGTAGTTGGATGTTAAGCCCTCCATTATCACAAGAATTATTTTCACTTACTTCATATGACTCAAACAGGAATATTCTCAATTTGAAATTCCAGCCCAAAGGAAAAAGTATCAGGATGAAACTATAAATGAATGAAAGCCACTGCAGCCTGATGACGAAACTAAGAAAATTTAATGCAGGGTTAAGATTAACCCGTTCCTCTATTCCAGGGCTTCGGAGACCGCGGTCCTCGAACTCCTTGAGGATCCGCCGGCCAAATTAAGTGGTTTGCGGTAAACTTCGAGAAAAATTCATAATTATAAAAATAAAGTAGAATGAATAAATAAAATGAAAAAATTGTAGATTTTTTTGGCATTTAAAGTTGTCCATATAATCAGTGGTCAGGTTTGTTTAAATAGGGAAGGTAAGTGAGACGGACGGGAATATACTGGACGGTCGTTCGGCTTCCTAAAAATTTCATTTTTGATACTGGATCCAGCATGCTTAAATTCTATAAGTCTCCGAATAGGTGCAGTTCAAATAGCTAGTGGAAATGGGATATCTAAAAAATGTTACTATCACGTCGGCTACTTAGAATTGGAATTTACAGAGACTGATGAGTGTTAAGCTCAAGTGAGGTTTGCACGAAAGTCTTTCGAAACAGTTCGATTGTTCCAGTCAAATTGCCACGTCATTTTGAGGTTACACACTCACAACTCGGGAGAAACAGACTGATTTGTTGATGAGGAAGCGCACTGATCTGGCTGCTTCTCAAACCATGATAAGGTATCAAGTGGCATCAGCAGGTGAAAACTAAGCTTTCTGTTTTTCGTATAGGTTTCTGCCATCGCGGAAACCCTCATAAAACCGTGTGTTAACGATGTTGAATCTTGCGTCATTGTGTTCTCCACAGACATTCTTTAGCTATGAAACAAATTCCAGCCTATTTTAAGAAAAGTTTGGAAGAGTCTGTTCAAATTATTAATTATATCAAGTTGCGGCCATTGAAGACTGACATTTCACAATTCTATATGACGATATGGGTAGCCTTCATCATTCCTTCTCCAGACAGAAGTCTGAAATCTTATCTCTAGAGATTGATGGACCACAATGTCGAATTGGCCAACGTTTTCATTATAAGAAATGGCACTGTATACAGTCGAATTTATTAGATATTTTCCTGAAAATGAATGAGATGAGTCTTTCTTTACAAGGGAACATCATACAACTTTCAAAGCTAATGACAATGTTCGCGCCTTAAAAAGAAAAATCCAGTTTTGGGTTGAATCTGTTGAGAAGGAAGAGGTATAATGTTTTCTTGTGGTAAATGATTTTTTTTTAAAGAAAACAAACTGGAGCTTGCGAACGGTTGATTGATGAAATATGTGAATGCCTTTGATGTTTGGAGATGTCCTTTGAGCACTACTTCCCAACAACACGAAATACAATGCCACAAGACCATGAACGGGCGCTCAAACGGTTTTCTGTTTCGACAAAGCCAACCGGTCTATCTTCAAGTGAATACGAATGTTTGGTAAACATTACTTCACACACCACCTTGATACCTAATTTCGAATTCGATATTTACCTCCATGTTTTGCTCCGTCTGGAAAACAAAGATTTTCAACCGCTCGTTGAAAAAGCAAAACGTTTTGTTCCATTTGACACAACATACCTATGAGAATCCGGATATTCTATGTGCATAGCCTCCAAAGCTAAAGCTGTCTAGATGCTGAATTTGACACCCGGCCCCAGTTATCAAAACTTAAACCCAACATATCCAAATTGTGCAGGATAAAGCAACCTCACCTTCCCATTAACTCATTAATCAAAAATGTTCAAATTATTACTTTTGAATTTGGCTCGAGTTTAGCTTTTTAACCCTTTTTAACCTCAATTGAAGTGAAGTTTTTTTAATTTCAAATTAACCATTTTTTTAAACAGTAAAAACTTAGGAGATGGTATAAAATACGCCTGTAAAGTAAAATTCCTGTATATTTGCGATTTTTTGTATAAAATAATTAGGCTGTTGGACGTTTATCATCGCCTTTGTACTACCAGGGGTATTGGTTTTCTT